TTTGGTGGGCCCGGGCTGGATTCGAACCCACCACCTTAGGTGTATGTGGCTGGTGCCTTAGCCACTTGAGCCACAGGAGCCAAGCCTGTGAGCTAAATTCTTAAAATTATTCCACTTTATAGTTAACCTATAATATCCTCCTTGAACTCTGTGTCCACTTTACCCCCAACATACATTCCAACATAACACATCCATTAAGGCAACTGATGTCCTGGAAAGAGTACTTAGACAAGACCTAAAGTCATCTGTCGTGACTCTGTTATTTTAAAGGTTAACAGAGGGACATCTGTCCCCTCTCTCTTACCTAATTAACACCACTTGCTTTATTTTGCTCCAGGAAAATAGTGTTTATCACTCTTGCTCCAGGATGAGATCAAGCATTTCCATTAGACTTTATTTTATTTTATTTTTTTGCAGTTTTTGGCCAGGGTTGGGTTTGAACCTGCCACCTCTGACATATGGGGCCGATGCCCCACTCCTTTGAGCCACGGGTGCCACCCCTAGACTTTATTTTTTTTTTGAGACAGGGTCAATGTCACCCTGTTACAGTGCTGTGGTGTCATAGCTCATAGCAATTCCAAACTCTTGGGCTTAAGCAATTCTCTTGCCTTGGCCTACCAAGTAGAAGGGATTATAGCTGCCTGCCACAATGCCGGGCTTTTTTTTTTTTTTGTAGCTGTCATTATTATTTAGCTGGCCCAGGTCAGGTTCGAACCCACCAACCTTGGTGTATGTGGCTGGCGCCGTAACCACTGTGCTACAGGCACAGTGAGCCTCCATTAGACCTTAATTTCCATTTATCCATCCATCCATTTATATATGTAAATATCAATGACAAAAATTGTTTTCCATGCGTGGTGCCCGTAACACAGGGTTACAGCACCAGCCACATACACCAAGGCTGGAGGGTTGGAATACAGCCAGGCCCCAACCAGCTAAACAACAATGGCAACCAAAACAAAACAAAACAAAACAAAACAAAAAATAGCCGGGTGTTGTGGTGGGCGACTGTAGTCCTAGCTACTTGGGAGGCTGAGGCAAGAGAATCACTTAAGCCCAAGAGTCTGAATATGCTATGAACTGTGACACCATGGCACTGTACTGAGGGTGACATAGTGAGACTCTGTCTCAAAAAAAAAAAAAAAAAAAATTTGTTTTCTCCACAGCAACTGCTAGGAGTCCGGAAAAAAGATCACTTTAAGCGCCAAATTCTAATACCTACAAGTGTGTGAAAAATATCACACCAAGTTTAAAAATAACTCTTTAATCATATGCACATAAGGGGGATAAAGGGAAATACCAGGCTGACTGGGGAAGGAGTAGGGTATTCTCCCTTTGTCCCAGTGTCTGCTTGGCACAGTTCTGAGGTCACACACACAATCAGGGTGGGCTCGGAAGTAGAATAAGGGGGAAGACTGAAGAGACAAAGGCAAGGAGGGAGAGGAAGGGCTTGCAGTAGTCTCAGTCAGTGGACTCTAACACAGATTCACTCAGTGCAAGGTCCCAGTAGTGTTCAGCCCCATGCTTTTTGAAATGCTCACGAGCCATGTTCTCTGTAGGGCACTGTTTGAACTTCATCTCTCCAAAGCTCCGGTCTTTGGCTGTACCCTGGGAAAGAGACAAAATATGTAATAAAAATATAATTTCTTATTTAAATCAGATATAAAACCTAACCATTTGTATAGCAAGGTGCCTAGCGGAATGTGATTTTATGATAAAAGCAATTGTAACCTCCAGTTTTCATCATTTCATTTGCATAAGAATTTTAGTTTATAGATGGAGTGAGCAGGAGGAATTCTATCCTTTGTAATAGCAAGTCAGGACTATGGAGGACTATATTCGCCAGGAATTTGTGTCCCACCAGTCCCTAAGGACTAAATTTGGGCCTTTAACGAGAAAGAAGTTATAGAATCAGAGGCTAAAAGAATGCTTTTTACAAGACTTAGAGAAACCCTGTATATAAGCAGGAGGTTTAGGGCCCAGAGACAAAAAACAATTGTGGTGGTAGAGAACTGGTAGGCCACTTGCAAAGAACTACAACAGAAAAAAGACACATTACTAGTTGGAACAGCATTCTTGTAGAGGGCACCAGCAGCAATATCAGTCATAGAATACCACCTCTAGAGGCTGTGAGAGAGCGGGCTTAAAAAGAAAGCTGGAGAGCGGGGCCTGTAGCTCTGTGAGTACAGCACTGGTTCCATATACGGAGGGTAGGTTCAAACCTGGCCCCAGCTAAACTGCAACCAACAAAAATAGCTGGGCGTTGTGGCGGTGGCTATAGTCCCAGCTGCTCGGGAGGCTGAGGCAAGAGAATCACCTAAGCCCAGGAGTTGGAGGTTGCTGTGAGCTGTGATGCCACTGCACTCTACTGAGGGCGATAAAGTGAGACTCTGTCTCTTAAAAAAAAAAATGCTGAAAGCCCTGCATTGTGGTAGGCACCTGTGGCCCCAGCTATTCAGGAGGCTGAGGCAAGAGGATCATTTGAACCCAAGACAGGGAGTGAGACTGCCTCAAAAAAAAAAAAAAAAAA